CCCCCCCCCCCCCCCCCATTGGTTCCCCTGGTCAGGTGTCAGCTAGGCTAGGTGAACTTCTTAACCCTTTACAGGTAAAAGAGGCATTAACCCTTAACTGTCTGTTTATGGGGGGGCGGGGGGGGAAGCAGTGTCTGTGCATTACTTACCCACCATGTTCCTCTGGTGGGAAGAAGCAGTGACTGGGAGAAATCTGGGTGCCCCCCACAGAGCACTCCCCTGCCAGCTGTGAGCAGCTTCTGACTCTACACTGGCAGTGCATACCTCTACTGCCACACAGCGCCCCCTAGGCGATTGCAGGGTAGCTCACCCCCGAGGCCAGCCCTGTCCCTGATTGCCCTAGACCGCTCTTTGGCTCACATTCATTTGCAAAGCACTTTGAAGAAGCAAGCTACAGGATAAGTGCCGATTGTTCGTTGAAAAACTGGAGACCAACCTTATTTTGCCCAATTATTTCTTGGTTTGGCAACAGAAGAGAAATGTACATTTGCAGAAAATTGCATAGAGAGCGAGCAGGTAGGAGTGCATAGTCACAATAACCAAATATATACACCTATATTCTTTTGCCTGTTGCAGTGAACTTATTTTGCCATCCACTAGCCCAGGAGGATGTCCAGCACCCCAGTAGCTGTGGTGACCGGGGGCAACAAAGGGATTGGATTTGCTATTGTGCGGGCTCTGTGTAAGCAGTTCACTGGGGATGTGTACCTGACAGCCCGGGACCCAGGACGGGGTCAGGTTGCGGTGACAAAGCTGCAGCAGGAGGGACTGAACCCACTTTTCCACCAGCTGGACATCGAAGATCTGCAGAGTATCCGGACTCTGCAGGACTTCCTGAAGGAGAAATACGGAGGGCTGAATGTGCTGGTTAATAATGCAGGGATTGCTTTTAAAGGTACAATGCTGGCTCATTGGCAAGGCTTTGTGAGCTGTAAATTACATGAAAAATGATGAGTAGGTCGTGTCTGCTTTTACAAGAATCATGCTAGCTGGAGAGGCAAGCAAGTATGATGATACCTAGCTCATCCCTGTGCCAGCAGAGAGCTGTTCCCAACTTGACATTTTTCTGGTGCTTTGTCAGATCTCATTTTTGATCTTGTCTTCACTGCTGTGTTAGCTCAAGATATAACTCAAATTATGTAACCCAACTCCTGTCCGTGTCCCTCCCCCCAACACACACACACACACACCCCTCTCTCTAGCTCAAGAGAAGTGGTGCTTTAAACTTGAGCTAGCTGGCCCATCTGGGAGCATGCTCAAGTGCTGCTGAAGTAATGCAGTGGGGAGGCTGCTACTCTGTTATTAAAAGCCAGTCATGCTGTGCAGCTCAAGGATTGCTTTGCAGAGTGGCTGCTCTCATTCTATCTAGGCATGAGAAATATGGAGATATACCTATCTCATAGAACTGGAAGGGACCCCAAAAGATCATCGAGTCCAGCCCCCACTAGCAGAACTAAGTACTGATTTTTGCCCCAGATCCCTAAGTGGCCTCCTCAAGGATTGTACTCACAACCTTGGGTTTAGCAGGCCAGTGCTCAAGCCACTGAGCTATCCCTCCCCCCAACTGAGCTATCCCTCCCCCAGAGGCAAGGGAGTGTAGATAACTCAATTTAATTCTGCAGGGAACACACCTTTAGGGAGCTATTTACCATGGTGATGAGCACTGTATAAATAAACAGACTATTTAGAAGCTATTCCTACCAACATAGTTTCCTCTACTTACTTTGGGAGTCTTAGAAAATATTATAGGACTCTATTTGTCAGGAGGCTTCTCTTGATGTTTAGTCTAAATTGTTCTTTCCTTAATTTAATCTTGTTACTCTGATTGCCTCTTGTACCATTTTAAATAATTCCCCTGTGACCTGAATGATGTTGCCTTTCAAATACTGGATTTGGTATTAAAGTGATCTGTTGTTGAACGTATTCATGCATAAATCACTATCTCAACAGAAACTTCTCTTTGTAAGGTATATGCATAGTGGGAAGTGCTTGCCATGTAATGACTGTGCACAGAACTCTTTTAATAGTGCTGGGGGATTCTAGCAAAGGTTATTTGTCACACAGCATGGATGATACATATTTTTTTGCGACAACTCACAAACCGCAGCCATCTGCCCTGAGCTCTGGGAAAACCTGCTTAAAAAGAGATTTTAAAATGTAGTAAATGTTGATAAAGAACAAAAACTCTTATGTCCTAGTTACAGCTTACATTTCTTATTTGGGAGCTATTATCTTGACTCATCACTGCTTTACCCCTGTTTTGATGCTGAAACCATTGAAATCGGTGATGAATTGGGCCTCGTGTCTCAGTGTTAATATACTGGTCAGTATTCTGTAAATAGTGGTGTCCTGGCACATTGCTCAAGAGAACAGGTAAGGTGGTTATTAGCAACGCCTTTAAGGAATATCTCCATTAGTTTAAGCAATAGGTGTTCAGTTACAGCCACTCCTTGGAGTTACCTGCAGGTATGTTGTATCTAGCAAGGGGACTACAACAATTGGTATCTATTTACACTACTTGGAGAGCCCTCGTGCTTGTAGAATCAATCCTTCCTCATCATCATCATCCACTCATTATACTCCACACCCGAACATAGCCACTCTATGAACTTCATACCCTCGTATCTCAATGCCTGTACTTTGACCCATCAACCTTTTACCCCCAATCGGGGATATTGCAGATTATGTATTCCTTATGCCACCTGATCTTAAACCAAATTTTGCACCCTCGATAATCTGTATGTTATTCCCCGATAACCAGAAACTTCTATGCTCAAACTCTGTTCACTCTTTTTAACATCATCTTAATAAAATTTTTATTCTGAGTATCTACTACAGAATGACAGTGCTCCCTGTTTCTTCCTTCCCTGCCACAAAGAAACAGGCTTAGTTGCCCCCATTTGCTGCAGTTCTTCAAAAGCTTGATGTTGCCTGCATGGGAATCCTATCTCTGTGCAGCACTCATCATCCTGGCTCAAACGCATGCTGAAACTCAACACACCAGCAGTAACAACCCAGCCATTGCCTAATACGCATGATTGAGCTCTAAATCTGTATAAAGAATGCAGCTCCCTGCCCTGTTTTGAGGCATCAGTTGTGTCATCAGCTCTTGTGGGGGGAGCACAGAACCCTAAACTA